TATCTCTCTCTCTCTATCTATCTCTCTCTCTCTCTTTTTTTTTTGCCTGTTATTTTACTGTGCTTTTCTCTTGGGAGGGATTTCACATTTTTTGTGGCATAGGAAGAAAAAGCTTTACTGCCCAACTTGTTAAATTGTATTATGAATGCCCTGGTGAGATTCTCGTCTGCAGTTCTCAATAAACGTCTTGATAGCGCATAACAGCCTTTAGGAGACTGTTTTGCTTTGATGTTCATGCACTCGAGACAGAAAAGAGCAGTTTTGTAATGACGTTATAAATAAGTCCACAAGCTTTTTATAATTGATTGATATCCTGACAATTTCTTTCTTGTGACTTTGCCCTTTATCTCGTGGCCGCTTCATTGGCCGGTGTCTGTGGAGCAGTGTTAGGCACTTAATCGTTGCATGCAGAAGACGAATTTTGGTCAACTTATGGTATCCGACCTTTTTACGTATTATAACACTCAAATCACTTGTAAATCTAAAAATTCCTTTTTCTTTGTGTTACTATCATCATCTTTTAGATTTTCTGTCCTAGAACTTTCATTTTGCCTATTATGTAACAAAATGTCGTTTTTCTCAAAACTTCAATTTTTGAAGCTTTTTCTAATCTACTTTTAATTTTCTTTTTGATTTCAAAGAAATTTTTTCAGGCTTGTTATTCATACTATAACCTAACTCTGTTTAGGTGGAGAATAAAATCGATGCATTCATAAGTGGGTTACATGGATAAATATTTTATGTAATCGAATTAACTAACGTTGCCCCCAACTTGAATTTTAAAAAACAACAACAACAACAAACAAACCTAACAAGTTCCCGTGATTCTAGATTCACAGTACATTTATCCTCCCGCTGTGCTGTGTTGACCTTCGTCATAACGAACAATATGTGTCACGACGCGGAGGAATCAGGCCCTCGTCAATTTGTGTAAAGAGTTATTGGTGTCATCTTAAAGCTTGTTGATTTGTCTTGTCTTGGTTGAACAAAAATATCCCTTTATCTGGAATAGAAGTCAAAATCTTTGCAAATTAAGGAGGTGCGGGTCTCCAGGTTTCAGAGGTAAAATTAGTGAGAAAATGACGGCCAACGATGAGTTTTTTTCCTTAGCTTGAGAGTCTGTAGAAACTGAAGATGTTCATTTTTTGTGCCTTTAATCAACGTTTTTCAGTAAAATCAGCACAGAAATGTGTCTTTTAATAGGCATTTGCTTCTTCTTTCTTATGAAACATCTACCGTCCTTATCTCCCCTTCTTCTTTTTTACCCTCTTGTAACACGTCTAATCTTGTGGCGCTCATATGACCTTATGCAGTTGAGAGCGCCGTAAAACCTCTACTAAAAACATAAATATAAAAAAATAATGAGCATGAAAGGTGTTGAGCCAAAAAACAAAATTTCTGTAAAAATTCAGAAACCTGTGGGAAAATGCCGGTTTCTTCACTTTAATTATTTTGTCGAACGCCTGATCTCACCTCCCTGCCGCACATATATAATATATTATACTGTAATCGATATCCCCAGAGGCGATCTTAGCAGAGCAAAAGTAAAGATTTAAGTAGATCCGCCCATTTCAAACTACCTGAGCCAGTGAGCAACACTTGGGTCACCGTCGGGGTGGCAGAGGAATAATAATAATAATGTAATAATATATAAACATTTCACTAGGAGAACCTAAACAAATGGGTAACAGGGAAAGATCAGGGAAAACGTGGCTTTTTTTGAGAGCATCCGAGCAAAGGAATAAATGCAGAACCATGATCGCCGATGACTGTCGCAGATCTGGCACTGGATGATGAAGATATAACATTTATTGTAGCGAATTTCCACAAAAAAGTAACTCAATGCGCTTTGCATTGGAATACCCATTTTCAAAACCTTTCTTACTATTTCCTTTTTCTCATGCAATATACACACACATATA